AGTTCTAATATATTAATAATATTATTTAATTAGTGTTGATCAAGAATTAATTTGGTGATCAAAATGAGACTAATTAAATATATGGGGTTGATTATGTAAATCACTCATTCTTTTATAATGAACTATGATCCATGGCTTATGGAGTTGGGTTATAACCCATAAGGAGCTCCATGGATAATCCATGGGAGTTACAAACCCATGGATCATTAGAAATGAAGAGTCATGACAATTAAGGCATACATGTGTAAACCCTAATTGTGACACACTATAAAAGGAGCCTCATAGCTAGAAAAATCGGTCACTAGAACAAGATAAGAGGGCAAAACCGATTTTGAGTGTAAGTAAGCTTCTCTCAAGTTATTCTAAGTGTTGTGGTGTTGTGTGAAGTATTTGAGGCATCACATTTGGGGTGCTAGGCACACAAAGTCATCAAAGAATTCAAGCAACAAGAAAGGTATGTTCTTCTACTAGTTTTATGTTACATGTTCCCCATGCTATGCTAGTTAGGAAGTAAACCTTAGAAAAATCAAATTTGCATATGTACAAGAGAAAACATATATCCAAGGTTTCTAGGGTTGCATGTACACCATAGGAGTGTTAGAATGCTCAAAACCCTTCACATAAGACCTTCCGGTCACACATAATTACCACTCTAGGTAAGGTATGGTGAGAAGACTCACCTCGGATGATGAACAACCCCTATAAACGCTGCTGCTACGCACCGGCCTCTAACTCTTCCAAACCCACAATTATCCCAATTAGGAACTAAGTCCCAACTCTCAGTCATTAGGTCTAAAGGTAGTCCACCAACTGACTCATCAATGACCTAAAACCCATTGGGCCCACCAAGGCCCAATAATAAACGGGCTCTTCCGAGGACCAACTCCCTCACATCTAATGGTGAGCCCAACTCAAGGGCCCAAAGCACATATATATAATCCTCTGCTCCAAGACTCTATTGCACAAGTCCAAACTCCTGGCCCAACACTCAAGGCCCAAAATGAGACTTAGCCCAAAAGTCCACAGTGAGGTTACGCGAGGCGTACCTCTCTTGCTACGCTCAGCGTACTCACGAATCCATATTGGCCATCGGGGACACTGGGGCAGTATGCGGGGCGTACAGGAATTACGCTCAACGTACTCCCCAGATTCACTCTTTCTACTCATTTGGTCTTAAACAGTTAAGACATTACCCCAAACCCCAGATCTGGACTCCCTAATGGCACTCACTCCATAAAGTCAGTGACTTTAAGCCTTTGCATGGCTGGGAAGGTCACAAACACCCAAAAAACTCACTTCCTTATCTCAAAAACCTCCTATCTCATGCATGGCTTGATTCCAACGACCAAGAATGGATTCTTATGACATAACACCACTAAATATACCCAAAGGGACATATATTAGGCTCTGGAGTTCAATCAACTAATAAAGCTTCAAGCTTTGGGACCAAAAACCCTAAAATGGACCCAAAACAAAACTAGCACAACAATAAGCAAGTTCAAAACTTGATACCTCTGGAAGATGCACCAACAAGAGAAGAATATAGATCCAAAAGCTAGGTGCTCAAGCAATTCTCTTTCAAAGCTCCTTCTTCTTCAAAGGCCAAACATAACAAGTGATCACCCTACTAGATCCACATGAGAAAGCCACCAAGATTCAAACGTTATGCTTTCTGGAGCTAGATCAACATGATTAGGGCTTGGATCTACAAGCTCCAAGCCAAGCAATGCTTCCTCAAGGAACTCCTTCTTCCACAAATATGCACCAAAAACTCACTAAATCACCAAAATGATCAAGAATCACTCAAATGGAGGCTTAGGATCGATTTCTAGGGTTTAGAGGGATGGAGGCTGAAGATATTAGGGTTAGGTTATGAAATAAGGAGCTTAAATAGGATCCAAGATCCTAAAATAGGGTTCAGGTCTGATCAGCGTACGCCCAACGTACATATGGTACGCCCAGCGTACTCCAAAGAACATTCGCGACTACCCTTGGTCAGTACGCCCAGCGTACTCCAAATTACGCCCAGCGTACTTGCTTCTGCACTAGTACGCCCAGCGTACGCTTGGTGTACGCCCAGCGTACTCGGCTAAGCCTGCAACCACAAAACTTCTGAAGGCCATAACTTCTTCGTTATAAATCCGTTTCCGACGATACTTATATCCATGAAAAGGTAACGAGAAACCCTACACTTCTATCAACTTTATTCCTCCTGAAGCCCACTCGAACTCAGATCCAAAATTCATGAAAAGCCCGCACCAGCGCCTTTAACAACACATTTGGGCTCTAAAGCACAAACCGAACTCTTTTATCACACAACCTACCTTACCCATATCCCAAAAAGGCCTAAACCTTTATCCTTCAAATCCTCAAAGCCTTCTCATACTCAGATTAAGGCCCACGGGCCCTAAATCACAAAACAATCTGGAACAGGATGTTACATTAATATATAGAATCATTGTTGGATTATTTTTTGGCAGAAAAAACCTATTTTACATCATAAAACATTTGACAATAGTCTTGGGGGATGTTTGGTTTGCCTCTTATTAGGTCTGGTAAGAGGTAACCTCAAACTCGATTAACAGTTAGAGCGATTATTTCGCCAAAGTAAGAGGTAACCTCTTACTCGGTTAGCATGCTGTTACTCAATCAACTAAAAAATATTATTATTTTTATCACTTTTTACCCATTCTTTACTTAAAATTGTTATTATTAGAGAAATTAAATATTATTTTTAATATATTATTCCGTTACATGTATGCTTATACATAATATAAATATAAAATTTATTTTAACAATTTTTATTACGTGTTTAATTTTTTTTAGCTTATAAATAAGATCAATGGAAATTATTTTATAATAAGAAGATAAAACCCTTTTTTATCTTATGATTCCATATAAAAAAATATGTTCAATAAGTAAACAAGTATGTGGACCCATACTTATAAGAAGTTTATGGATAATGAGAAAATATTATGAAATATAACGATTTATATATTAATTATGCGACATTACATAATAATGTTATTAATCTTATAGATATTTCTAGGATGGTTCTAATACTGATTTTGCAAGTGACTTAGTTATAAACTTATAAGAAGTTTTTGGATAATGAGAAAATATTATAAATATAATGATTTATATGTTAAATATGTGACATTACGTAATAGTTTTTACGTTCATAGTTTGTAATTATAATTATTCGGCGTTCATTGTTTTCTTATCAATGCATTAGTTGGTATATCATATTATTTTTAAACAGAAAGGTAAAATTATCATTTTCATCATTCAGCACAGCTAGTCATATGCATAATCAAACAAGATGCAGTCAAAAGTAGATTAGTCAGTTTTTAGACTCAGTCCGATCTGATCCAATCAACAACTATCAAACAACTCTTTACTGGAAATTGATAGCAATTTTAATCTATTCGCCAAAAAGTGATTATTTTTTAAATTATCATTTTGTTCTTTTATAATACTAGGTTACTTTGGAATAGAGTATACCAGATTTTTAGTATAATGAGACAAACCTAACCAGTAACTTGAGTTCCCATTCCATTGCACCTAGGGCTGTAAACGAACTGAACGTTCGACGCACCGTTCGTGAACTGTTCGGCGGAAAGTTCGTTTATGTTCGTTTATTTAATAAATGAACGAACATGAACACAAATTCTCGTTCGTTTAGTTAAACGAACGAACATGAACAATGGTCTCGTTCGTTCATTTACGTTCGTGAACGTTCGTTTATGTTCGTTCGTTTAAGTTTTTTTATGTTCATATATTTTCAATTGTTTTTTTATTACATTACTATATTATAGTTCGTTTAGTTCATATATGTTCAATTGTGTTTGTTTATCTTTGTTCGTTTATGTTCGTTCGTTTAGCATGTTCACGAACATAAACGAACGAACATGAACAAAGCAATTTGTTAAACGAACGAACATGAACAAGAAAAATCTGTTCGTTTATCCGTTCGTGTTCGTTCGATTGTTCGGCTAACTTAAACGAACGAACATTAACAAGCCTTTGTTCGTGTTCGTTCGGTTCGTTTACAGCCCTAATTGCACCTATCAAACTTCAGCATCTATTAAAACTATTTAATTATCTTACGTCATCCTGACCTTCAAATAATTATAGTGGGGCAGGTCATCCCACCAAACTATCATCAATCCTATGCAACAAGTTTAGGGAAAATTTGCAAAATATAGTCCTCATAGTTTGACATTTTAATAATCAATACTTCACTTTTCAATCTAGTTAGACTTTTGAATTATAATTATTTATCCTATGAATTTATTGTTGGGTTCAATCGTAAAGTAACACAAATATGCAGGAAAGATTAGGGAAAGAGTTCACATACGTAGCGGGTGGTTCTGTACTCACCACAACCAACATACAATATTTCAGACACTAAATATAGAAATACATGAACCGATGCAACATTTAGAAGGAAACATCGTAACCCTTAGAAGAAACCGGTTACCACTTACCATACCCCCATAATTACTTTACAATTGTCATATTAAATTACCACATATTTAAATATTAAGTCTAGCATATAATTTCAACATTAATGTAACTCTCATTATATTGACTACGATCTTAGTAATTTTAGATTACTGACTTGAAAATATTCACGTATTAAGAACTCACATTTGATGTTAATGATGGATAATAAAGAATGAAAACTTATAATTTATCTTAATGATTTATATAGGCACACTCCTTTTACACACGGGGTGACAGTTTTTTTAAACTTGAAATCACCATCCATGTCCTGATGTGTGAAATGAAAAGGTCAAAGCTCAACTTATCTAGAATATTCTACCTCCATAAAATTTCTTAACTAAAGAACGAAGAAATCTCATACCTTCTATTATCTTAATAAGGTGGGAAAACAAAGACTTTCCTAACCGAAATTTAAATAGTGGAAGGACTTGTTGTGTATTTACATATTTACCCTTAGAGATACATGTTCCAAGTCATACGTGATGGCCAACCTCTTGGTATATAATTGATGCTCTGTTGATACAACTTGGCACAATCATATTCATAGCAAATCACCACTAAAAAAACCCTTCAAAATTTCCGATTTTAGTGATCACCTTTTTTCTGTGTTCTTGAAAGAAAATATAAAAAGTAAAGGATGACTTGGCTAATTGGATTCAAAGGACCATCAGGATTCTCAGCTAAACACACAGCTGAAGATGTTACCGAAGGAGTTGATGGCAAGGGCTTAACTGCCATTGTTACAGGTCAACTTCTTTCTCTTTTCTCTCAAATATTTACAATTTCTGGAATTCTTAGATCATTATGCTTCAAGATTTCATCTGGGGTTTTTGTTTATTGTCCATTAGAACAGTAGTAAACACATGAAGTTTGGAAATCTTGATTTTATTAAGTGTTTGATTGATTTTAAATGACTGAAGTTTGTACATGAGTGGTTTAATATAGTTGGTGTTCAAAGCTTGTAGAAGTTGACTTATTTGGTTCAATCAAAGCTTGCAACTTATCCATATTTGATTAAAACTTGACTCAAGATAAATTGTGTTTACTTATTTGAAAGAAGTTATTAGAACAGAAAAGAAATGGAAAAACAAATCAAAAAATGTGGATTTGGGTTCTGTTTGATGGGGTCCAGTGCATAATAAAACTATAAAACTCATTATTCCTAAAAGACAGCATACATCTCTTCATTTTGTCCATTTGCAAAGTTTTCGAATAATTATCTTATTTTGTGATCATTGAAAGATATTTTAGACATATTATATGTTATATTTTCAATAAAGGATGACATGCACAAATCTCGGAATCCAAATATATTATATTTCAATGGGATAATCTAATAAAATGGTCAAACTTTTTGGATCCCATTAATTATCTTTATGACTAGCGGAATAGAATGGACTAAACAAAAGAACATATTTAACAAACTTTAAAGAATCTTTTATGGAGATTTAGAGTCGTTTGAGACACAAAGCTCGAAAGTTTCACCTCAATGTTAGTGGGTTTTAGCTAAAATCTATAGATAAACATCATAAATTTGTTATTTTAAAATCTTTTCTTTTTCATGACAGGACCAACAAGTGGTATTGGTCTAGAAACTGCTCGTGTGCTAGCTTTGAGGGGCGTACATGTAATTATGGCAGCCAGGAATGTGGAATCGGCTACTACATGCAAGGAAAACATTATAAAAGGTTGCTCTAGTGCTACCATAGATGTTATGCAACTCGATGTTAGTTCACTAGAATCCGTAAGAAAATTTGCAAAGGAGTACATTTCCATGGGTCTACCCCTCAACATCCTCATGTAAGAAACAAACACACCATTCCAATCGTATTAATAATTAAGTTTATTGTTACGTGCAAGAAATAACAACGTACTTCTATTTATCTGATATTATAACATTATAGTGTACACACCATTGCAATCATATTAATAATTAAGGGAAAATACATTGCTATTTCTTGCATTTGACCTTATAGTGTACAAGTCTAATAGATTTTTTGTTTATTGTTGCTTGTAGTTGTAATGCAGGGGTGATGACTCCTCCATTTGGCCTTTCTAAAGACGGAATCGAGAGTCAGTTTGCAACAAACTATGTTGGTATGTATTGACTAATATTATGTTGTTTTTTTTTTGAAAAATAAAAACATTTTACATATGTAAGACGTGTTTTTTTTCTTATGATCTCAGGGCATTTTCTTTTGACAAATTTGTTGTTGGATACGATGAAAAATACTGCACAAAAATGCGGAAATGAAGGAAGGATAGTCATCGTTTCATCAAAACTTCATAGTATGAGTTACAAAGAGGGAATTGTGTTTGACAAGCTAAATGATGAAAAAAGGTATATTTTTTTTTCAATAGTAAGTGTTGTCTGAATAAATGATGTTTCAAGATATTTGAAAAAATGATGACAAATAATTGGGAAAAAAAAGAAAAAAATAAGAGGTAAATCGTAAGAACTTAATGGAAAGATTCTCTTAATTTTCAAAGAAACACTCATGTATATCTTAATAAATTAAGCATTGTTTATGTGTATTAAGTAAAAGAAAGATTCAACACTATAGATAAAAATAGGGCCCATATAAAGGAAATGTGGTCCATAAAAATGGATATTCTTTTCTAGATTCGCTTAATTTTACCATTTTCAAGAATTTGTATGATTGTGGTATTAAAATTCTCCTTTCATTCGTGCTCCACTTTTCAGCTATAGCAGTTTCTACGCTTATGGGCAATCAAAACTTGCTAACATTTTGCATGCTAAAGAGCTAGCTAGACGCCTCAAGGTAATTTCAAGATAAAGAATCTCACACTCATAGTTATTGCATCTTGTTTATTATGTAATACCTAACGAGAATGTTGACACCATTTGTAACAAAAGTTATAAAAGAAAAACGACACAACAGATAAATTGTCTAAAACCCCCATCACAAATAATCGTTTTTGTCAATACAAATCATTTTTGTAAATAGAATATGGATCCATATTTAATACATGTTATGACAAGTGGTATGTTTATTGTTGAGTATAGGAAGAAGGGGCAAACATAACTGTCAATGCATTACATCCTGGAGTTATTGCAACCAATCTTTCACGTCACTCAACCTTTTCAGGTAAAAAATTTTCGATTTGGACTGTTAAAAGATAAGATCATTTTATTGTTCACGATAATGTGATATTAACTTTACCTTCGTATTTTCATGACAGCTTGCTTTTATGGAGTCTTCGGTATCTTTCAAAAGAATATCCCACAGGTTTGTTCTTTTGTTTATTTGCATATTTCACCATTTCCAGTACATGGGTCTCATGATATGATGTTAAACTAAGATAATGTCTTGGTTTTTCTCAATGAATAAACGAAGTTCAAAAAATATTTAAGAAAAAGACGGCCTACTTAGGTAAATGTATGGAACAAATGAAAGGGAGCAAATTTATAGAAAAAAATAAATACGAGAAAATATTTGTTTACTGACTTTATCTATTAAGTGGTTCATTTTGCATTAAGTGAAAAAGAAGCAACACTTAAGAGTCTAACATTCACAAAGTACAAATATTAGTGAGTGACATTGTTAATATTTGATTTGGGTTTTAGGGAGCTTCAACAACATGCTATGTTGCATTGAACCCAAAGGTGAAAGGGGTGAGTGGTGAGTATTTTGCAGGCAATAATGTGGATAAACCCAGCAGTCAGGCTTGCGATGCTGAGCTGGCCAAGAAGCTATGGGAATGTGGTATGGAGTTGACCGGTTCAAAGTGATTCATGAGAGTTTAGAAATTCAGTGAACACTATTGGTAACATAATTTGTGTTTTGATTATTTTGTATGATTTTTCCTTGTGAATATAGTGTATGATTGTACGGTTGTTGTATATTGTATTTCTTTTTTACAACCAGGGTGTGGTGTGAATTTTTTATTTAATTAGATGTAATATTGTATTTGAAATGTATAAAAAATAGTTGGGGAGTTTTATGTAAAAGTATAGTGAAAATCAAATACGTCATATCTTATTGGATTGTGTACGGTATATTTCCTAAAAATTTGTATTTTGAACCTATTGGGCCTCACGTACAAAATCAACATGATAAATGTCTCCCATTCACTCTAACCATTTGTCATGAGATCAAAATAGTTATATGAGTGTGCATCCCACACCAACTAACTCATATGTGAGCATAACTTTCGGTATTTGTGTAAATCTCAATTAACTCAAATATTTGATGACACTAAAATTACGGGCAAAAAAATAAAATAATTTACATATTAAGCTTTGTTTATTTTATCACATCGACCTTAAATTGTAACTTGCATAACAAAAACCAAAGTGCTTCTAACCTAGCGGTACCGGGTGTTGTCCTCCCTCCTAGAGGTTGAGAGTTTAAGTCTCATTGGAGACATAGGTGATATTAGGAGCTGTTTAGGAGTAGTGTAGATTTGTCTTTCTAAAAAAAAAACTTGCATAACAAAAAATAGAATAATTCATTTGGAAATGTATACAAATGTGAATTGAATCTTCTTTATTTTTGTATGATAATAATTTTTCAGAAACTTTCATACATTTAGAACTAAATGTTTTAGGTGTAATAGTTTGACTTGTGAAGCATGATCTGCTCTTTGACCTCATTGCAATAGCATTTGAGGTGTGGACAGTGGTGCTAGCAAGGTCTATAGTACTTTGGAGTAAGGTATGCGGTGTTATATAGCAAGGTCTGCTGTGCATAGACCATAAGGAATTTTCAAATAATGACGTTGTACATTTCCAGGCCCTGACCCACAAACATAGTAGGTAAACTCATAGTATAAATAGATCTCTTTTTACCTTTGTAACGATATTCAGAAAGTGTGTGTATTACGGAAGACGAGAACGTTAGTACGATCATTTTGATCGTGTAAACCACATTACATCATTGTTTTCTTAAAATTTTCTTTGCATCTTTACCGCGTGTTGTGTTTATCGATTATTTATCCCACTAATTGGTATCAAATATATGGTTAAGAAGGAAAGCTTAAGATCTATAATTTGAAGGTAACGATTTTAGCTTTTGGAAAATATAGATCGAATATTGTCTCGATCGGAAGAAGTTACACAAACCCTTGTCTTAGGTGAAACTTGAAGAGATGAAGTATGAGGATTTGGACCAGTTTAAACATCCCTCATATGGTCTAATATTAAATTGGTTATCTTTTGAGAACATTTTATCGTTTAAAATAATAGTTGTGGCAATTTGTTCCAAATAGTTAAACAATTAATATCTTTAAATTGGCCGAGTCAAACGATGGTGCAACGAATAAATCAAAAGGACTCTTTAAAGACTTAAAGTACATAATTTACATACAATAAATTCTAAAATTACAAGCTCTTTTAAATATTCAAAAGTTAATACTTCAATAGTCTTCACTAATACATGTCAAAATAATAACATAAAGGTTGAGGAGCCTAGTGAGTAAACCCGAAGTTGGAATTTCAATGGTTCAATTATATATGACTTTTTCTTTTTTACTTAATGCAAATAGAATGTTATAGTGAGTTAAGTTAGGAAATAAGTGTCCTTAACATTAAGTCATGATTTTATATTTAGTTTTTTAGAATTATCCTTATTTCTTCTAATTAAAATCACATTTAAATAGAAAACTATGAGTATTGGGGTGTACATTTTTGTGCATATTTATTTAGTTATTAACTAGTCTATGTGTAAATATCATACAAATTTTATTCTACTGTGGTACACTTCCAGTTATGTAGAAAAGACAATATCAATCTTTGGACATCCCTTAGGTAATACATCGATGTATTACCGATCTCTCATTTTCAATTTTCACTCGAGTTTTCAATATCATCATGACATTCATAAAACATGTGCACTTAAACCCATTGACATGTATGAGACTATCGAGTTTATGAAGGTCAATTTTTGTTACCCAAATAGTCCAAAAATATTTGTGTTGTTTTAGGGTGAAAATCGACAGCAGACACACGGTGGGTGTAGTCGGGATTTTCGGTTCCGAAAAAAGCACTATACTTTCTCCTAGAGATGAGCATCGGAACCGGGTACCCGCTTTTGGAACCGGAACCGTCTCGGAACTGCCGGTTTTGGAACTGGAACCGCCTTAAGCGGTTCCGGTTCCGGTTCCTAAAGTTATGGAACCGCCTTAAGCGGTTCCGGTTCCCGTTCTCGTTTTTTCGGAACCGCTACCCGCTAGGTACCCGCCGGAACCGATTTATATATATATATATATATATATATTATTTCATATAAATACCGGTTTAGAATATATTGGTCCGATTTTGTCCGTATTTGGTCCAAATTAACTTGATTTGGATCGAACTAAATTGCGGTTTTATCGACAAAAGTTAACAAAATTAATGTAACCGTGTTACCAACTCCCGGAACAGGAACCGCCGGTTCCGAGACTGGTTCCAAACATTTAAGAACTGCCTAGAGCGGTTCCGGTTCCGGTTCTAACTTTCTAGGAACCGTCGGTTCCAGTTCTCGCCAAATGAGGCGGGTACCCGCCTATGCTCATCCCTACTTTCTCCAATTTAAGACTTCACAATATATTTCTAGGAAGATTATTCTAGATGGAGAAGATTTGAGAAATTTTAGTCTATGATTGTAACATCCAAAAATTTCAAGCAAATTTAAACTTTTAAAAACACCTCAAGTTCGTCAAACATTACAACTTTGTTTTCAAAATATTATTCATCAGAGTATATCCCAGAAACAAAACATAAAGTGAGGAGCTGTACGATCATGCCTTCGCCTTGCCGCGATCCCCTGATGTACCTGAAACAATAAACTGAAACTGTAAGCCCGAGAGCTTAGTGAGTTCCCCCAAAATACCGATACACATACAGTCCACATAACCATGTCAGCATTATCATATCATAAACACTAAACAGAACAACATATAATGGGTCCACAGCCCTACAGACTGTAATACCCACGAGCCCACAGTACTAGTCTCCCTTAGCCCGTAACTGGAATGCTCCCGAGCCCACAGTACGAGTCTCCCTTAGCCCGTAACTGGAATGCTCCTAGGGTTTGTTGGCTACCGCACGAAGCAGTACAGCCTCAACCCATCCCATATAACAAACACATAACATAACCACTGAGCATGCAATAATCACATAACATCACAGGTAGTCCTACAGATCTACCTAACTTGGCATAACCACTAGCATGCAACACTAACTCATACTCAACCTCTAACACTGCTAGGATAATATCCAATGGGCCGGCCTTGGTGCCTTAGACCCCTTAGTATAGTGAGGATAACTCACCTTGCAACTGTCGTCTGAAACTAGAAAGCTCAACTCACGGATCACCAACACGAACTTCACCACCTATAGTTACCATAAAACCCTTTTTCATAAATCTCTAAATCACCAGAATACCCTCAGAAGTCAACTGGTCAACCCTTGGTCCAAGTCAAAGCCCACAGTCAAAGTCAACAGTCCATGTTGACTCGACTCGTCGAGTGCAGTTCACCGACTCGTCGAGTCCTTCCTGAACTCGAGAAGTCGTGAAATCCTTGATTGGCTCGTCGAGTTCCCTTTTAACTCGCCGAGTTCATACGTGTCCAAGAATTGGGAGAACCCTAGCCGACTCGCCGAGTCTTCGAACGACTCGCCGAGTTCAAGGCAATCTTCAACAGACTCGCCGAGTTGTTCATCCAACTCGTCGAGTTCATGGCCATCTTCAACGGGCTCGCCGAGTTGTTCATCCAACTCGCCGAGTCCTTGCAGACCTTTATCCATGCAGACGCTTTTTAAGCCATGGCAAGGTTTCAGATTACAGATCCAAGCTTCTAGGGCATGTTTATCACGTAAAGTCGCAAACTTTATGTGCATGCAAAGCTTTAAGACTCTTAAATGGCAAAACTAAGCTTGCAATGAAGTCTCACACTTGAGGGAAGGCTCCTACTAGGCAAGGCTGACGACTTTATGGATCTAGAGGTCAAAGGGAGTCCAGATCTGAAGTTACAACTTCAGATCTTAGCTTAAACATGGGGAGCCTTTCATAAAACCCATCCAAAAGAGGTTAAAAGAGAGATGAGCTAAAGGAACAACTTAATACCTTCCAGAGAGTGACAACTGATGAATCTCTTAGCTCCCCACGAGTTCCTAGCCTTGATTTCCTTGCTTCCCCAAGTGTATCCTTCTCCATATTTCTTCCTCCAAGCTTGAACACACCAAAGAACACACACACACACGATTTAGGGTTTGAGAGGGACAAGAAGCAGTAAAGGGGAGGTTGGGGGAGGCCAATGATCCTTTAAATAGGGTGCAAAACCCCGAGATTTAGGGTTTCATCTGCCAGCTCCTACTCGTCGAGTCCCTTCTTGGACTCGGCGAGTAGGTCATTAAAATACGTGGACCAACCCGCTGCTACTCGACGAGTATGGCAATCAACTCGTCGAGTAGCCCCTGAAATCAAGAATTCACACATTAAATCAATACCTGAGAATCGGGGCGTTACAATTCTCCCCCACTTGAACTAGACTTCGTCCTCTTCAGCTGCAGCGAATAACTCCGGGTAATGCTCCCGTATTTCAGCCTCCGTCTCCCACGTCGACTCGGACCCCCTCCGATGCTCCCACTCTACCTTCACCAAAGGTATCTCCTTATTCCTCAGAATCTTCATCTTTCTCTCCAGTATGGCCATAAGCCTCTCTACGTAATTCAGGCGTTCATCAACCTGAATATCATCCAGCGACACCACCTCCTCTTGATCCATAATGCACTTTCGCAGCTGCGAAACGTGGAAAGTGATGTGTATCCGATTAAGCTCCTCCGGCAGCTCTAGCCTGTAAGCTACCTTGCCAACCCTGGAAATGATTCTGAACGGCCCAATATATCGGGGGCCCGATTTCCCCCTCTTCCTGAAGCGGATCACACCCTTCCAGGGCGAGACCTTCAGGAGTACCATGTCACCGACCTGAAACTCTAGCTCGGATCGGCGCCGGTCGGCGTAACTCTTCTGCCGACTCTGAGCGGTCTGCAG